TCTGTGATCTGTCCATGTGCTACTTCTAGAACAGAAGGAAAAAAAAAACAGTTGGCTCAATGTAATGTGAATGCACAATTTGAGTTTACTATCTATTAGGCGTTCAGAAAGCTTTGACATTTTTTATGTACTCCTAGGTTTCAAGTAGGTGACGAAGTTCTTGTTGTCTTTTCTTGTGTGGGGGTACATACAACTTGTTCTTTAACACGGAGCATCCTAGATTAGAGGCATGCTTGGTATTTTGTAACAAATTCATAGAATGCAAGTCATTTTCCTTAGTGTGAATGGATGACTAGTTGACTGCTACTGAAAACAGTGATTCACTGTACGATTCACTAAGAAATGTGTATAAAGCCTTCATTGTCAGCATAAGTATTTTCAGTGAGTGAAGCTTCTTTCTTTTGAAGCAATGATGTCAAAGACAGTTGTATATGCATTAGCCATATTTTCTATTACCTTTCTCATACCTCTGTCATCTGGGCAAAATCCAAGCTTTGAAGTTGAAGTTGCTGCTTTGAAAGCTTTCAAGAGCTCAGTCTCTGACGATCCTTTCAGTGCACTTGTGGATTGGACTGATGCAAATCACCATTGCAACTGGTCTGGAATCATATGTGATCCTTCTTCAAATCATGTCATCAACATTTCGCTTATTGAGACGCAGCTCAAAGGCGAAATTTCTCCGTTTCTAGGAAACCTCTCCAAACTCCAGGTTCTTGATCTAACTTTGAATTCATTTACTGGAAATATCCCACCCCAGCTGGGGCATTGCACAGACCTGGTTGAGCTTGTTTTTAACCAAAACTCTCTTTTTGGTGAAATTCCTGCCGAGCTGGAAAACCTAAAAAAACTGCAGTTAATAGATTTTGGAAATAACTTTCTAAATGGGAGTATACCTGATAGTATATGCAACTGCACTGAATTGTTGTTAGTAGGCCTCAACAACAACAATCTCACAGGTAAATTACCATCTGAAATTGGCAATTTGGCTAATCTTCAGTTGTTTGTAGCTTATACAAACAATTTGGTTGGTTCTATTCCTACCTCCATTGGAATGCTGACAGCATTGCAAACCCTTGATCTGAGCGAAAACCAGTTATCTGGACCTATACCACCAGCAATTGGCAACTTGTCAAGTTTAGGAATTCTTCAGTTACATCTCAACTCTCTTTCTGGGAAAATCCCATCTGAACTTGGCCTCTGTATCAATCTTTTTACCTTGAACATGTATACTAATCAATTTACTGGAAGCATACCTCCTGAGCTTGGAAGTTTAGAAAACTTGCAAGTGCTCAGATTGCATAACAATAAGTTGAACTCCAGTATACCTGCCTCAATATTCCACCTGAAGTCATTAACTCATTTAGGACTCTCACAGAATGAACTAACTGGTAATATTCCTCCCGAGTTAGGATCTTTAACGTCACTAGAAGTGCTTACCCTTCACTCAAATAGGTTATCGGGGGAGATCCCATCAACTATAACAAACCTGGCAAACTTGACATATTTGTCTTTGGGCTTTAATTTATTGACTGGATCACTTCCATCGGAATTTGGGTTACTCTATAATCTGAAGAATCTAACTGCAAATGACAACCTCCTGGAAGGATCTATTCCATCGAGCATAACAAATTGTTCTCATCTTCTTGTTTTAACCCTTGCTTATAATAGAATAACGGGGAAAATACCAAATGGGTTGGGGCAATTGTCCAATCTTACATTTTTGTCTTTGGGATCAAACAAAATGATGGGGGAGATTCCTGATGATCTCTTCAACTGTTCAATGCTTGAAATTCTAGATCTGAGTGATAACAATTTCAGTGGGAAACTCAAATCAATGATTGGCAGACTCTCTAAACTTCGAGTTTTAAGAGCTCGTACTAATTCATTTCTTGGGCCAATCCCACCAGAGATTGGTAAACTGAGTCAACTCGTGGATTTAGTGCTTCACAAAAATAGTTTCTCAGGTGCGATACCACCAGAAATTTCAATGCTTTCAAACCTTCAGGGTCTTTTGCTATCTGACAACAAGCTGGTAGGTGAACTTCCTGTGCAACTTTTTGAGCTCAAACAGCTCAATGAACTCCGGCTGAAGAACAATAATTTCTTTGGTCCAATACCGCAACATATATCCAAACTAGAATCACTGTCGCTCATGGATCTGAGTGGAAATAAGCTTAATGGCACAATCCCGAAGAGCATGGCGAGCCTCCGCAGATTGATGACAGTAGATCTTTCACACAACCTTCTTACCGGAACTCTTCCTAGAGCAGTACTTGCCAGCATGAGAAGTATGCAACTTTACTTGAACGTTTCCAGCAACTTGTTGCACGGAGAGATCCCAGATGAGATAGGCGTGTTAGAAATGGTTCAAGAGATTGACATATCAAATAATAATCTGTCAGGCAGCATTCCCAGATCCCTAGAACGCTGCAAAAACTTATTTTCACTGGACCTATCAGGAAACATGCTCTCTGGTCCTGCTCCAGGTGAAATTCTGACCAAATTAAGTGAGCTTGTGTTCTTGAACCTCTCAAGGAACAGATTAGAAGGCAGTCTTCCTGAAATAGCAGGATTATCACATCTTCGCTCTCTTGATGTTTCACAAAACAAGTTCAAAGGAATCATTCCCGAGAGATTTGCCAATATGACTGCATTGAAATATCTCAACCTTTCTTTCAACCAACTTGAAGGTCACATTCCAAAGGGGGGTGTATTCAAAAATATAAGGTCGGAGGATTTACTGGGAAATCCATCTCTATGTGGAACAAAGTTTCTCAGTCCATGCAACATAAAAAGAAACCGAACAAGTTCTCATGGTTTTTCCAAGAAAACCTGGATTATACTTGCAGCACTTGGATCTGTTTTCAGTCTCATTCTTCTTGTCCTGGGAATATTTTTATTTCATCGGTACATGAAGAAGAAGAAAAAAGTGAATGACGCGGAGGATACAAATCCAAAGTATACCACAGCACTGAGCCTCCAGAGATTTTATCAAAAGGATTTGGAACATGCTACCAATAATTTCAGTCCGGAAAGCATTATTGGAGCCAGCAGTTTAAGTACTGTGTACAAAGGTACACTGGAAGATGGGAAGAATGTAGCAGTTAAGAAGCTGAATCACCAGTTCTCAGCAGAATCTGGTAAATGCTTTGATAGGGAAGTCAAGACTCTGAGCAAACTCAGACATAGGAACCTAGTTAAGGTGCTAGGTTACGCTTGGGAAAGCAAGAAGCTAAGGGCTTTAGTTTTAGAATACATGGAGAATGGGAACTTGGACAACATGATTTATGGTCAAGTGGAGGATGACTGGACGTTGTCCAATAGGATTGATATTTTAGTTTCAGTTGCAAGTGGACTGTCATACCTGCATTCAGGCTATGATTTTCCAATAGTGCACCGCGACATGAAGCCTTCAAATATTCTTCTGGATAAAAATATGGAAGCACATGTGAGTGACTTTGGGACAGCTAGGATGTTGGGTATTCATCTCCAGGATGGGAGCAGCATATCATCAGCATCCGCATTTGAAGGAACGATTGGTTACATGGCGCCAGGTAATAATTCTTACAACTTCTTGACCCACACTTTACTAACTAGATTATGCGTTACAATAACATTAAAACTAGATGTCTACAATGTAAACGAGCTTATATGGGTACCACAAATAATATTTTGTTAATGGTGAATGTTTCAAATACATTCCATTTTAGCATCATTCAGTAGTAACATCACTTCTGTCAATCACAATACGCAGCACAGCAGATTTTTTTTTTCCTTTCAATCACAAAATACTGATTTAACTTTTATGTGGAAGAAAAGACAAGCAAGTAAATGATGCAATGTTTAGAACATATAATCTGTAAAGTATTTTTTTAAATGATAATGTCAGTTTTAATCTATCCAAAAATCTAGCGTCAGCTTTGAAAATTTGAATTTCTTGGACATTTTACATGCTCCTAATTTAATTTGAGACCTCACTTACATGAAATGTTATCTATGAAACAGAGTTTGCATATATGAGGAAAGTGACCACAAAAGTAGATGTATTCAGCTTTGGTGTCATTGTGATGGAGATCATTACAAAAAGAAGGCCAACAAGTCTTACCGGAGCAGATGAATTACCAATGACTTTGCATCAAATTGTTCAGAATGCCCTTGCGAATGGCATAAACAAGCTAGTTCAGATTGTGGATCCTAATCTAGCTTCATATGTCTCCAAGAAACAGGATGTAGTAGAGGGACTTCTTAACTTGGCTTTGTCCTGCACCTCTGCTGATCCTGAAGATAGACCTGACATGGAACAAGTTCTGTCTTCTCTTTCAAAGTTAAGTAAGATGGACTGCATGCCTTCATATTTGGTAAAAGATTAAATTTGATGTAGAAGAAGCTGGAATATCATCACTCTTGATGTGAACCACCACCAAGTTTCCCATGGTGGCTAATGGAACTAGTTCATAACTTAAAATGTATTTACTATTTAAATAAATTTTCCATATTTCAAGCCATAAATGATCTCTCGAGTCTCGAGTGTTCCTGCTTTTCTAGAGAGATATAATGGAACTGTCCCGTCAGATTATGTTGAAGTTGACATGCATCATGAAATTGAACAACATATTCAACAATACTTCACATTAATTACAACTAAGGAGCAAAAAGCTAGATCTTTACGAAGTTCTCTAGTGACATGTAATAGAGGTAGTGAGCAAGCAGTTGATTGCAAACCAAAGTGCTAATGTAGTCTGTCACCGAAGATTATCTACAGCAAATGAGTACACTTACGAACACACATATATAGAAGTGAAACTGAGGAAAACTCAATAAAGGCTTTAATAAGCCTACAATCATCCATCATATTTTACCTTGAAATATGCATTCTAGAAATTTATTTACTAGAGAGGGAACACGCAACCTCATCTATTGGTGGATCATTATGCAAGAACTCATCAATGGTAGAGGGAAACTCAAAGCTTCCAACACCATCAAAAACCTCTGAATGAATAAGAGCAGCTTTGCCTAATAGCAGATGAGCTAACCTAAATGATTCTCTTCTCTCTCCATTATTCCTATTCAGAAAATGCTCAATCCAACCTTCTAATCTCTCCACTTCTTTTTCACTTTTTGGTCCTTTAACTCCAACAATGTTTCCATAAAATGCATCATCACAGCCCAAATCCACTTCCACACTTTTGGATCCTCCCCTTTTACTGTCCGATAAACCCAATAGCTGCATCAACAGTTCAATGTCATCAACCCCATTACCACCAGGTTCAACTATACCAACTCTTTCTTGAACTTGTGTTGGGTTTATCTGAGGTGGGGTTTCTTGGACAAGAGGGGAATTAGAGAGAAATTGAAGTGGGGTTTCACTTTCTTTGAGGTTTGTGTAGCTGGTGATGGAGTCAACAGGGGTCTCACTCTCATCACAGTAAAGGTATAATGGGCTGATCAAAGACTGGGTCGGTGTGTCGACGGCTTCTTGTTGTGTTGGTTCGTCAAGTTTCAATCTTTTCTCCAATTGTTTGAGAGAAGAGAAGAAATTTGAGTGTGGAGAAGGTCTTTGCATGATTGGGAGGAAATCAGAATGAATGATTTGGGGGTTTAGGGTTTTAGCTGTGAGAAAAGAAGGGGAAGGATTTGGCAACACAGAAGAATTCAGAAAAACGAGCGCCAATTTATTGAGTTGTAACATTATTTGAATTTCCTTAATGCGCCGACATGAGTTTGGTGAAATAGTTGATTTCGATCTTTCAGGAAATAAATATATTTTGCAAGCATTGACCCTGCTGTAATAGCATGCTCTAATATTAGAGTTTTTTTTTTAAAAAAATATTAGTTTATAGTAATTGATTCCTTATTATTTTATCCAAGAAATGAGTTTTCTCAAATTTATTTTTGGAGGACAATAAAGGATTGAATAACATATGTTGTTGTGATTTGTGAACATGGATAGTCCAAATAGTGCTTTATGGTTATGGACAAGTAATCCAGCCAAACTGTTGTGCCTGTGGTACGAAACTAAAGGGAAAATTAATCAAAATGGCCATTTGGTGATAATTAATTATAAGGGAAAATTGTATGAAATAACAAATTATTAATTCAAATTAAATGTTAGAGCCATAGTTTATTTTAATTGTAATTCACAACAAACATTCCCTTTTTTGCCATCTGATTCGGTATACAATAGCCATTTTCGATATATAATTAGCCATTTTATACATTTTGGTATAAAATCTATAAAATGCGTTTGTGTTTGTATAAAGCGAGAGAAAAGTATATATACAAATACAAATACTTATGTTTTAGTCCTATACACTTATAATTATACAAATACAGATCTTATTATACAAATTACAATGTATAAATGAATTTATACAAAACAGAACAATTTGTATAAAATTGGATGTTTGTAGCGAATTATACAAATCAAAAGTTCTATAGCAAAAATAAAATTTGCTATGGAACGCAATTACGCAAACTATAACTATAACATACAAATATGATTTTTATGTTTGCTATATGTGAAAGTTGCTCTTATTATAATTCAAAATAGCCCAATTATAAGATTACTAGTGTAGCACCCCGAAATGCTAACCAAGAGTCGATTGTCATTACACCATTGCTCAATGACTACAATATGTTTTACTCTCATTCTGGGAACTTGAAATGTTGTGATATTTGCAAACTTGCTTGACATAAATTGTGATTGTAATTTAATGGATTGTATTGGGGTATTTGTGTAATATTCTAGTTGGAATTATCTATAACTTGAAAGGGAGGTGAGGTATATACATATTGGTATATATGTATACTTTTGGGCAGCTCACCTTTTACTTTTGGCAGCCAACCTTTGACTTTTGTCTGTATCTAGTAAGTGATAAATATCACTTTTATAACATATAATTTCACACCTTCTCTATAAGAATTCGTGTCCTTTAACTCTAAGAAACCTGTAGAACTTCCTCTAACCATATTACTCACAGATTTTCAAGAAAATCTTGATCCTTTTGGCTGGAATTCGAGATACACCCTTCTCTTTGGTGAGTAGTCGAAATATGTTTTTGAGCTGAGTAGTGTTTATTACTTTTAGAATATCTCGTTCTCTAGAACTCTTTTTTCGGTGAATAAATATGATTTGAAAAGATAATTCATATACCTACAACTCTTATGTTTATGTGCAACTCTAATTTAGCTGTTATGGATTCGAAATATGGGACGCAACATAGGACAAGTTCTGTCCAGATTTCAGATTTAGAAATCCTGTATGAACAACTGTGTATCGATGATATCTTTTTGTACAAAATATATTTTGTGGTGATTTTTGATTGTTTGCAACCTTAAGAGATGTACCTGCATTTTTCATGAAGGATATACAGTCCAGTTTTGCTGTTTTCCTATTCAAATCTAAGTTGCGACATGAGGTACTAGGATGGCCAGAATTACTGTTTTGGGAGCATAGTCGTATTCGTACAGGCTAAGCTTACTTGTGATGATAATCCTGTTTTACATTAACATTATTGAGCTAATAGGGATTAAATAAGTTATTTAATTTTATTTTAAGGTTGTATATACTCGTGAACAAGTTGAGGAGCTTGGTACGTTGGTTGGTCTACGGTTTGAACTCTTGAAGTTGTGTTGGACTGTTTCTAAGCTAAACACTGAGGTTTGTGTATAAACTTGTACTTGTACTCTTTTTACCTGCTGGTATATCTAAAAGTTTATCTTGGTACCTTGGTTACCCTTTGTCACTTTGCATTGTCATGTTGGTATCCTTTAAGACATTAAAGACGCTTGTGTAACTTGCCCACTTGTACGGATTGTTTGATCACTTGGTACTCTTGTTGGGGTCTTGTCCTTCTTGTGGCTGCGACTTTGTCACTATTGGCATGCCTCTTGATTCGATCATTTGCCATCTTGACTCTGGATTTTTAGTCCATTTTAAGAATGAAAGTTGTCCATTTTAAGTACGAACTAGAAAGCCATTTTTAATATGGTTCTTAGTTCTCTTGATTATTGGGCTTTGAGCCTTCTTGATACAGGGCGTCGGCCCTTCTTGATACCTATTTGTGCTTGGTGTGACGACATGATGTATATATTGGGCTAGCCTTGTTATTGAATCTCTTGAAAAATGGTGCTATGAGTGTTCTTGACATTTGGATCTTTAAATATCAAACTTAATACTCTTTATATATTGTTTACTTGATTTGTTTGTTATGTTTCAATTGTGCTACCTATGACTTGAGAAAGGTAGCTTAGTGAATCTGAGGGCTCCGAACCTATAGTTTTTACACCACTAAGCTCTATGCTTAGCGATAGTTATTTCTATCGTAGGGAATGATCGAGATGAGGCATGAAGCTGGCCATTGGAGATGGAGATTTTGAGAGCCTTAAGGAAGACCACATTTGCATATAGGCATCTATATTTTGTATAAACCTTGGGACTTATACATGATTTATGTGTTGTATATTTACATGAAATTTTGAGGGCTAATTTGATCATGTCACCATGGGTTGTAATATAAGTATGACTATATGTTTTGTTCTTTTGGGATGTGTAAGCCCAAGTCTTGTAATATATTAAATTTACCACTTGTTTTGAATGGTTGTGTGAAACATGAACCACCTAATTTGGGTACTCGGAAGCTGGTAATATTCTTTTTATATCATTTTTGCAATGTGAGGATAATATATGTATAAAAATGTCGTGAGTTATTGACTTATATTATTTTGGAAGAGTTTTTCCATCATAAGTTAAAATTCTGTGCAATATCAATTTGACATCAAATAAATGTTTAAATAGGCAGGATGCATATCCTTGACTATTTCTTTTTTTTTTCTTTATGAACTTAATCCATCTACTAAATTATAATCAATATGCCCATTTAAACATTTATTTGATATCAAATTGACATTGCACAAAATTTTAACTTATGATGGAAAAACCCTTCCAAAATAATATAAGTCAATAACTCACGAGATTTTTATGCATATATTATCCTCACACTGCAAAAATGATATAAAAAGAATATTACCAACTTTCGAGTACCCAAATTAGGTGGTTCATGTTTCACACAACCATTCAAAACAAGTGGTAAATTTCATAAATTACAAAACTTGGTCTTACACACCCCAAAAGATCAAAACATATAGCTATACTTATATTACAACCCATGGTGACATGATCAAATTAGCCCTCAAAATTTCATGTAAATATACAACACATAGATCATGTATAAGTCCCAAGGTTTATACAAAATATAAATGTCTACATGCAAATGTGATCTTCCTTAAGGCTCTCAAAATCTCCATCTCTAATGGCCAGTTTCATGCCTCTTCTCGATCATTCCATACGATAGAAACAACTATCGCTAAGCATAGAGCTTAGTGGTGTAAAAACTATAGGTTCAGAGCCCTCAGATCACCAAGCTACCTTTCTCAAGTCATAGGCAACATAATTGAAACATAACAAACAAATTAAGTAAACAATATATAAAAAGTATCAAGTTTGATATTTAAAGATCCAAATGTCAAGAACACTCATAGCACCATTTTTCAAGAGATTCAATAACAAGGCTCGCTCAATATATACATCATGTCGTCACACCAAGCACAAACAGGTATCAAGAAGGGCTGACGCTTTGTATCAAGAGGGGTCAAAGCCCAATAATCAAGAGAACCAAGAACCATATTAAAAATGATTTTTTAGTTCGTACTTAAAATGGACAACTTCCATTCTTAAGATGGACTAAAAATCCAGAGTCAAAATGGCAAATGATCCGAATCAAGAGGCATGCCAATAGTGACAAAGTCACAACCACAAGAAGGACAAAGTACCAACAAGATTACCAAATGATCAAACAATCCGTACAAGTGGGTGAGTTACACAAGCATCTTTAATGTCTTAAAAGATACCAACACGACAATGCAAAGTGACAAGGGGTAACCAAGGTACCAAGATAAACTTCCAGATATATCAGCAGGTAAAAAGAGTACAAGTACAAGTTTATACACAAACCTCAGTTCTTAGCTTAGAAACAGTCCAACACAACTTCAAGAGTTCAAACCGTAGACCAACCAACGTACCAAGCTACTCAACTTGTTCACGAGTATATACAACCTTAAAATAAAATTAAATAACTTCTTTAATCCCTAGTAGCTCAATAAGTTAATGTAAAACAGGATTATCATCACAAGTAAGCTTAGCCTGTACGAATACGACTATGCTTCCCAAACAGTAATTCTGGCCAGCCTAGTACCTCATGTCGCAACTTAGATTTGAACAGGAAAACGGCAAAAATGGTTGCAAACAATCAAGAATCATCGCAAAATATATTTTGTACAAAAAGATATCATCGATACACTAACAGTTGTTCATACAGGATTTCTAAATCCAAAATCTGGACAGAACTTGTCCTATTGCGTCCCATATTTCGAATCCATAGCAACTAAATTAGAGTTGTACATAAACATAAGAGTTGTAGGTATATGAATTATCTTTCCAAATCGTATTTATTCACCGAAAAAGGAGTTCTAGAGAACGAGATATTCTAAAAGTAATAAACACTACTCAGCTCAAAAATAGATT